ACTAGTCCGTACCGTAACGTAAGTAGTCGACTACCTCGTCGAATTAACTTAACGTAAGAAGTACTACTAAAACAAAAGAACGTACTCTTCTTCTTCTTCGTAGGACGTCTCTCTCTCTCTCTCTCTCTCTCTCTCTCTCTCCATTTTTCTAATTGTCTTCACATTTTTTTCTCACCAGTTCTTTCTCTGTTTTTTCAGATTTCCTTTTCTTTCCATACATTTTCTTTCTTCTCAGTCTTGTTGCCATTTATTTGTTTTTAACCTTCTATCAAAATGAAGACCGCCACAAAAACCAAAAGGTGCAAAATAAAAAAGTCAAAGGTACAAAACAATAATGGGGCAGTGCCCTAAAAAGAAACTCATCTTCAAACTTGGCACTTTCGGTTTTTTTTTGCTTCAGCATTCAACCAATCACCTTGTCAGTTTTTTCTCAGATTTTTTTTTCTTTCTAAGCTTCAAATAGGAAATTTCTAATATAGAAATAAGATGACTTCAAAAGTTAACATACCTTTGTCCCATTCCCATCACAACACAAGCACTCTGCCAAGCCTTCTAGAACACAGACGAGTATCCTAGAAGCATCTTCTGGACCATGATGCGAATCATCTGCAGATCCACCATTAAAGAGTTTCAGGAGCCCTGGGCCTGAAAGGAAATCAGAAAAATTAATATTCAAACAAAAAAGAAACAAAGGGAAAAATGATTCTGCATATAGGGAGGAAATAATGATTTTCCTAAAGATTTGAACATAAAATTGCCGTTTGATTTTAGCAAATGAATTTCTCTTTTGTACCATAATATTGAAAGACGGAAAAAGTTTATATAAAGGTGAGGCCCTAAACAATTAAATAAGGCGCAATGCAAAATTCATTAGAAGAAATTGTTTTGATGCGCAAAAATCCTCAAATCAATCTCATTTTAACCTCAAGATGTATGAACATGAGAAAAAATGGATTTCAAGTCTTGAAAATAGTGCACTTGTAATGCGCTTTCTAGACCATCAATTTTCAAGTATTCGTAGATTTGCTCGATCTACAATATTTTTTAAGCTTTAAATTTTATAATTAGAGATGAAAATAAATTTCAGGACATCACAAAGATTTTCAGTACTAAAATGTCTTTCAATATTATTTGAAGGTGAGCCTCACTGTGATTCTGCAGCCTTATACAAACCCCACCCTTGAAAGAAAGATCTTAGGCTTTTCCTTATTAATGACATAAACCTCAAAATATACAAGGGAATTATCAGATTTTGAAGAGCTCACCAAACATCTACTCTTTCAACAGAAAATCTGCAACCACCACTTCAAAAAAAACCTATTTCCATAAAACGTTCAACAGAGAATTGCATTTAAATGTATATGATATTAGGTGAAATAAGATTATCATTGGAAAAAACAAAGAAGATCAACAAATTTAAGTACATGGGCTAATCAAAATCCAATTTGAATGCAGACCTACAATTCAATAGCAGAAAAAGTAGTCGAACCGCCTGCAACCGAACAAGGATTGCTGCTTTCATCTTCAAAAGCTTTGAGATGTTCTCGAACATTGATACAGTCCCAAAGCTGCCATGGGAAGGACATTTCTTCAGGGAGGGAGGGAGGAGGGTGTGTGTGTGTGTGAGAGAGAGAGAGAGAGAGAGAGAATTAAGTTCCCAAAAACTAGTAGATAGACTAAAACTTACGTCTCCCTTTCCATGTTGGGTTCACTTCTCATCACAACCAAGTTCATTATGGATATTGCTTCCAATTGTACACTCTGACTCGTATTTGCCACAGCAGTTTGATGTAATTTCTCAAATAAACTCATCCAATTTATAGAGAATACATCTACATTGTTGCTCAGATTTTCCCGCTTGTTCTTGAATGGAGCTTCAAAATCTGAGCACTTCACCCTTGGAGAAAAATAATCTAAAGAGGATGCTTTCTCTGGGCCAAATATAAACCTGAAGCGCTCTTTCCATTTCTCAAAATTCTCCTCTCTTTTTTCCTTCAGAGAATTTGAATCTTGGCGATGACCCACCTCATCATTGCTCCTGAGATGTGTTCATGCACAGCATAAGTCTTAAGAGCAAACAAGCACTTGAGAATGAACATTCAAGGCAAAGCATACTAAAATTCAAACGACCATAAATCACCATCCATTGAAGGCAATGGATGGCAATGGATAGAGAGAGTGGAACCCATCAAATAAGGCATTCCCCAGTGGTTAAGTTAGTTTAATGGGACACATCTGAACTGAGTTTTGGAATCTGACTCAACTAGAAAATCAGTCAACTTGGGTACTAGTCACAAGTCATCAACTATAACCGGAACAAGAGATACGATAAGATAATATATGATTATCCAACTAAAAAGTTACAGAACAATATTTTCTTTGTGAGAAAGTTACAACTACAAATAAATAAAGTGGCATAGCTAGTTACATGCTCAAATATGTTACCTACATCATATAGGGTATCATGAATTTACAATAAATCAGTGTTGTGCTAGAGCTTGAACCTCATTTCAAATGCAAAAATTAGCACTTACCAAGGTCAGCCATACAAAGTTGAGCCACAAACACACAGTGCCTCCCTATGTGTGTGTTTTTTTTTTTTTTTGTTATAAATGTTGACTTTTGTATTGCTATAGAGAGAGAGAGTACAACTTTGGGATTAAACCCAAAACTGTACTCTATCTCTGTATAGCAATACAAAAGTCAACATTTATCAAAAAAAAAACACATAGTTCCTCCCTCACCCCACCCTACCCCACCCCACATGCGCACACACAAAAGATACGTACACTAGGCCATTGAAAAAAATGAAAATCTAATCAGTCTTTCCCAGACATACACAAAGGATATATCAGGTTTATGACCAGTGATTAGGAAGTGATTAACTGAACAAAGTACATTACAGTTCTTGTAGAAGTATATTTAGGAAAATTTACAAATCCACAAGAAGCAGAGATAAAACGGAGCATAAGGTACCTTTTCATATATTTCGTGTCAAAAGCAAGAATGTAGTGCAAGATGAAATGCAGAATACGTAGTGAGCTACAGACAACATCAACCTGCAGGAAATAAGAAGATAAGGTACCATTTCCGGCTTCATAAACCTAGTATTATCCACAATGTAAAATCACATAAATACTAACCACTGAATTCGTGCAGTTCAAATTTAGCCAGGAAGACAAGAAAAAATTTCTATCGACTGATAGGCTAATAGCATGATAAGACTTATGAAAGACAACATCTCCTATTAAAATGAAAATTACAAATGATAAATGGTTAACTAGCTCAGACCATTAGGAAGTATATGCATTTTTTTTTTACAATATTCGTAGTGCTAAAATTTGTGTAATGTATTATATCCCCCTATTTATTATTGAGAAAATACGATACTGCTTGGAACCATGCATTGATCATGTAACTTGAACTATTAGCGATTTCTCAAAATATCAGTACTTGCCTCGTAAATTTTTAAATGACTATTTTACCATGGTCCGGTGGCCAAATCACTGTACAACATGTTTAAAACCCAAAGGGTGATATAGTTGAAGATATTTTAAGAAGATACACTGTGCTTTCTACATTGGTGTACAATATAAAATTAAACGAATCATAATCTGTGAAAAAATCATGACACTCAGGGCACGTCTTTTTTGCGAAAAAGCGCTCTATAAGAAAGCGCAACTCACTAGCTGGTAAGATGCTTCCCCAATCTTTATCTATTTTTTATGAGAAAGCGGCTTCAAACCTATCTAGGTGTGAAAACGCTTCCAAGGCTGCTGCAAAGCTCTCTTGTGAATGAATTTTGGAAAGCGCTTTTAGAAGAAAAAAACAAAGTGAATTTCAAGTTTTTTGTTAGATGCCATGCTAATTTTCAACCAAAAAAAAAACTATCACAAAATGACGAGCATCTGGTCAATATTTTTTTTATATTTAAAAGTACCCCACAGAAGTAAAAGAATCTTGCAAAACAGCCTATCTCTTATGACTGTAATACTGTATGCATGTTAATTTCTAAATAAATAAATCAACTGTACACAATGTAATCATTTAAGTAACTGATTGAACTAGACAAACATACTAAACCAATTTTTGAACTCACATTTTCAAAGTTGCATAGGTCAAGTATGGCATCCACCAAAGAATCTAGCCCAGCCATCTCATTATTCATCTGTTGAATCCACAAGATAAAATAAACAAATAACTATTCTAGAAATTGATGAAAGCAAATCCAAGATAAAGTGTAAATACCAAAAAAGCAATCTAGATAATCCATATTCATGAGAAGAGGACGGAGGGGGGGGGGTGGCAGGGATGAGAGAGAGAGAACTATTTCTAGGCAGTAGTCAGGGTGTCAGGGGACATAACATGCTGTCTAGAATTCCATTCTCACCAGGTCCCAAGTTAGCATTCAGAGAGAAACAGTTTCCCAGCAGTAATCAGGGTGGCAGGTGCCACAGCGTGATGTCTAGAGTTGCAGAGAAAGAGAGGGAGAGAGAGCACATGAAGCAAAGTCCCCAACAATCAGCAAGTTTTTACTACTATTTAAGTGATGGAAATGATCCACCAATCCTCCATAATTTCATATTCTAGTAAAACTTCTTGCTTATCAACAGACTCGTGAGGCACTCCACATGTATAGCTAACTTTCCATTTATTTTAGAAAATTAAAGATCTGCATATTCAAAAGGCACATATAATATGTGACGTTTCAAGCATTAAGAGATATAAAAGTCTGGCTTGGGTCGAGATATTTACAGTGCCAATTGTTGCAGCCCTACATCCCAAGTTCGAATCCTATCACTGAACTACCTAAAGAAAGTATATAAGAGGCAGTTAAGTACAAAGTACATAGATTGTTTGGCTACTGCATGTGTTTTGGGTCAGCTTCTGCATCAAGTTCTATAAAAAGTTCCCACTTTGCATTTAGGGTTGGACCTGGTATTTCTATTTTTTTCACACAAAGTAGCAGCCATTCTTGCGTGTGTGTGCACCTAAAAGGGCTAAAAAAACTGGCTTCAAAAGCAGCCACAATTACATATTCTGGGTGCTATGTAAAAAGCCACCCAAAATACACATGGCACTAGTTTTGAACGACATCCAGACAGACCCTTACTCTTAACAATATGTACCATCCACCATTTTCTTCGAGCCAAGCTAAAGATGAGAGCTACCGATATTAGAGTACTTACTTTAGTTAATATTGCATAAAGACGACACACTTTTGCAGCCTCAACCGATTGACCAGAACCACCTCCTTTAGCCACAGGGTCTAAATTATCGGAGGAGACATTAGTCATGCATCTAAAAAGCACATGCAAATCTGTAGCACAAGTCACAAACAACTTTGACACTAAGTTATGCCCTGATCTATTATCAGTCGGGGAGTGCCAGATTTGGAGCAACTTGTTTTGGATTTCATACTTCTCAGAGAGGTCATCATTCCTTCCAAACTGACAATCACCCAAATCCATATCAGTCTGAACTCCTATTGCTTCAGTGCGCTTTGGTTGTGCACTAGTCTCTGGGCAGATATTGTCTTGTGCCTGAAGGAAGATATCTTCAGAAAATTAGCACAATGGAAGTATTTTTTATGAGCTCAATTATCAGAAGAACAAAGTCATTGTTAAAAAGAAAAAAATCATTCATAAGTCAGTCTCTATATCACTACAAACTGCTGTCCTTTGGAAGATAAGTGCGGCTAATTGAATGCACGGCATGGAAAAAAAAGAAGAAGAAATGGTAACGTCTTTAATTACCTGAGGGCCGTAAATGCCATGACTTGGCCTTGAAGCTGAAAGAAATCAGATATTAATTATACCCAAACAAGGCACTTTAGAGAAAGACTCAATCTTTGGGAATAAAATAAGAAAATATTTCATAATTCACTGGGTCATCACCAACCTTTAAAACCATGGACAGTAATGGAGATAGAGTGGGGCACACCATTTGGGTCATGTCTCCTCCCGTTGGGTTCACACTTACTGTCCATCACTTCAACAGATGGTGGATGACCCAATAAACCATGATTTTTCCATGGTCCATGGGATTCTAGCATACTTCCCCAATGCATCAAAACATAAATTTTTGAAAATCTAAACCTTAATTCCCTAAATATTTACCCATTATAACCATTCAAAAAAAAAAACTTTATTCATTACCACTTTCAACTAGATGCCGGCTTTTTAATTCCAACCCAGCAGATAAATTGGGTGTAGAATCCTTTCTATTAGGACCATGACTGTCAAACAACTGAGACCGTGAAGAAGGCTCTCCTATTGATGTATCTAAACTGCTCATGTTCGTCCTAGACAATCTTTTTGATGTCCCCTCTCTAATCCATGGGGTATTAACAGTGATGCTGATATTATCAGTAACAGGATATCCAGGCCCAATCTGGTCATGACAATTGCCTGTGGGAGGCAATGGCAAAGAAACCCGACAAGATTCTTCCCCACAAGCTTCTGTTTGTCTGCAATCACGCACTACAAATTAGAGTCCAAATTACCTATTTACATTAATTGGATAAACTGGAACCACAATGAAGGAAAAAATAATAATTAGGAAATATCAGCAAGCAATTAGCAGAAGAGCACTAAACACTTTGTCCACTCATGGGCATTTGGTCGTTGTCATAGAATAAATCAATAAATAACAGTTCTACTCACAAGCTTGTCCTCTTTAGTCGCTGGATTTCTGCTTCCTTTTCCGCAGTTTGGGATAAGGCATTTCTGAGCTGCTCATCCTTCTCATCTCTCCTTTTTACAAGCTCCTTGTACTCATGGTCCTGAAACCATGATATTTCATGAACAACTTGGTACGAAATTATATACATAAAAAATATTTTAAAAAATGATTTCAAGATTCCAATGCCAATATCGATGAAGGACAAGAAGAGTTAAATTAAAAATGAGAAAATTAACTTTTTGTTCTTCATCCTTTTAAGTCATTGTTTATAGACAGGTCTTTCAACCCTGTGGGTCAGGATTGCATAGTTTCATGCATCCATCAATCATAAGAAAGCATGATATATAACAAAACAATGGCATCATGAATGAAAGAGTTCGATTAATTGAGGTTTTCCTCTATGATAGTCAGCACATAAGGCAAGGTACACTTGATAATTATCTGCAACTGTTCATGGAAGAGAACCAATAATAAAACTAGAGATTCTAGTGTGAAGGAGTGATTGTTATTGACAATGGGCATGGTCTCCCTCCCTCCCTCCCTTCTCCCTCCCTCGCTCCCTTCTCCCTCCCTCCCTCTCTTCGTAGCACTAATAATAAGACTAATGATTATTGTGTGATGAAATGATAGTTATTGCCAACAGGCATGGTCCCCCTCCTCCCTCACTCTCTCCCAAGAACCTGAGGTAGCATTCCAACTTGTACAGCTAACTTTTCTAGCATTAACAAAAGCCTGTATCATATTAAACAAAACATACCCGATGAGCAAGTTGCTCAGAGAGGCATCTCGACTCTGCCTGCAAATTACAGAAGAAGCCAGTGTTACCATCATATAAGTATGAAGAATATTAAAGCAATATAATCGATGCATACAGACAATGCCATTGGCAAGCAACGTGCATCATAAATGTTCTGATTCTTTACATGTGCTTCCAAACTGATATGTTAACGCTTAGCAGGGAAGAAATCCTTTGTAGTTTTTTGATAAGTGGAAGGAACAAATAGCATATTAGCATCCCAAATATTTCCAATGCATTTTGACCTTAGCAATAAAGAAGGAGGGGCGAGGTTCACAGGAGCATTCTGCAGGGAAGAAAGACAATAATTTCTTTCATGAGGGATAGAAAGATGGAATCATCCCATATATTCCCTATCCATTTTGATATTAGCAATGATATATACTAGGTGGCACTTCGTAAAATCATAAATGCAGAGGAAAAGAAGGCCTATATGATAATAGGCCTCATATGCCTGCCGATGATGGAAGGCAACCATCTAAATGTGATAAGATTGCTTGAGGAGCTATCAGGTTGGTGCATATGTCCATGATGTTCCAAGCTCCAGCTGCAATGTGGTTTAATGTAGTCCTCAGGGCGCCAAGAAGTCGAAATAGAATAATTGTAATAAGGGACACCCAGAGGAATGGGGGCTAGAAATATGAAGTTAAAGGGGTTAGGAAGGGGACAAAATGATTTCATTGTTACAAAGTCATATATATGGATAAGGAAAGTCAGGGCTCATAACCTGACAAGGATATTAGTTACTTGGGGTAATGATGGATCACTTTGTTTCCTCATTCAATTAAAATTTGGAGGAAGATAAGGAAAGAATGAATGTGCTAATAAGAATTTTGAGGAAAAATCAGGTGGTTAGGAAACAATTGGTAAGGATGGGCGTGTGTCATCCTAGAAAACGTTATATATCAGGAAAGAAAATTCCAAAACACCTGAGATGGAATAAGCTTAGTGTAACTGATAGTGTGATTAATGAAATAAGGAAATCTGGTAGAAAGAAGGGGCACATTCTCAGGAAAATTAATACATTAAGGGATATATAAGAGGGAGAAGTGAACTTAAATGATAGAAAAGTATGGAAATAAAAGTACTAGTGTAAAATAAGAAATGATAGAGAACCCGTTAACTAAGCAAGTACATGAACTACAAGGGTAGGAGGGTTGGGGTGAAAATTCATTAGAAAGGGAGACCTGGGTGGAAATACTAAAAGGTGGTTGGTAGCAGTCACATTGGGGCTATTTAAAGCAAGCCTGAGGATATTGAGAGATGAAAGTCTCCAATGTCCCCACCAGAGTAATGCATTTGAGGGGTACATATTAGTACAAAGTAAGAAGTAAAACTAAATGGATATCGTGAAACTTAAGAGGAGAAATAAATGTGACAAGGTTCCATAAACAGAGAAGGAGCTGGGGTTACTAAGACCATGCAAAGCTTCCTTGAAGTTGTTTATATAGTGTGCCGAATGAATTCCTATACACAAGCCCTTCGAAAAACCAACATGAGTGATTAAGGATGAGCATGCTTCCTTCAATGTGGAATGGTGACCACATATAGCTTTCCAAGGAGTTTCAATTGCTCAAGTCCAAGGCTAGAGAATGGGATAAGGATGTGTTTGTGGCATGAGAAAGGTCATACCCTTGGAATTGTGAAGATCGACAACAAGTTGGAAGAAAATGGGAAAATGTGACTTGGTGGAGAGTGTGGAGAAGAGAAAAATCATTTTGAGAAGCAATATTGTGGCAGATGAGATGAAGTAGTTTTAGCCTATACATACCTGTTAGAAACAGATAATTTCTACTTGAAAAGACTGAATATTGTTTTGCGTGGATTCATCCATCAAACTATTTAGGAAAAGTTAATAATTAAAGATTTCAAGCTTAGTTTTCACTATAGTAGTGCCCGAGTTCTCAATGGTTTCACATATGTAGATCCCATTTAATTCATATACAATAATGTAAATAACTCTGTTACTTAAATCAACAACATGAATCCATATCAAATGAATTACCAAAACAAGAGGCAAGATAATAGAATCACTGCAACATACAAACGCATGATTTCACAGTAATAACCACTTCCTAGAACTCAAAAAACAATACTAACTTTTCACAGAAATCACCCAATTAGCACAATCAATCAAACCAAACTCCATAAAGAACTAACCATCAAAGAGCATAAGACACGATAATATAATCATTACAGACATTCATGTTTATTGTAATAAATACTCACCCCACTACTGCAAACAATCAAACTAAACTCCAACATTGACAAATATAATGAATCCAAATCAAATGAATAACATAAAACTGAAATCTGGATCTCCTTCAAAAATTTCGAATTAAATAATTCATACCTTCAATGCTTCGATGTCCTTCTCCTTTCCCTCAAACCCAACTCGACCACGGCCCCCATTTCTTGGTCCCAATCCAGCCCCACCAAAACACGAACCATTGTTCTTCTTTTTGGGTTCTTTTCCTTTGGTAATCTCTTTAAAACTCTGTGAAAGTTCCCTCGGGGGAGAGAAGCCAGTACTAAAATCATCTAATATGGGTACTTGTGTTGAGTTTTGGTGATCATTTGGGGTAGGATTCGTAGGAATGAGAAGTGATGTGAGAGAAGGTGAAGGTGGAGGAGGAGGAGGAGGTTGTGTAGCTTTCTTTACAGCAATGAGCTCCTTTTCTTTACGAAACAGAGCTTCTATGAAATCCGGGTCCGTCCAATCACCATCGTCTTGGAAGCTGAAACACAAGTCCATGTCGGTGCATTTGTGGGCTCTCTCCCTCTCTCACGAGTATATAGATTGGTGGGTTTGATGTTTTCTCAATTTATTCATCCACTCTCTCTCTCTAATATAGCCGCTTAGCAGAACCTGGATACCTAATCGCGTACATGGATAATGGTTTTGAGCGCGGTTTGCAGAGAGTGTAGAGAGAGGAAGAATGCGCCATTAAAACGAACGCGTAGGTTTTGAATTTGTGTAGTGAGATATTATCGTTCGCCCTTCCTCTCTTATTTAGAGAAGAGGGAGGAAGAGTGTACAATGAGATGTCTACATTTGTACAAATGTAGTCCCAACTACTCTTCACTATTGGCTATTGGATGTGAAATTAGTTGGCCACCTTTTATACGAAGCTTAAATTTCAAATGAAATTCTTTTCGAACTTCGTAATATACCCAAACTATCCGATTTGACATAAGATGATTATATGTAATTATGACTCTTTTGTATTAAAGATAAATGATTTCATTATATACAATTCTTTAAGAGATTAGTGAGAAGGTTACGCACATGCCCCTCAGAATTATAGTTATTTAAAAAAGTAGCCCTATCAAAACAGATAAAGCCACATCTCATAACTCATTGAAAATTACAATTTAAGTATTAAAACTATATCAATCTTTTTATCTTGAACATAAAAAAACCAATTTTTTTAAAAAAATTATTATCGATATTGAAAATTGATTTTAGAGCTATAATAGAGATTTTTGTTGCCAAAAGTGCTTTTCAGTTGAAAATTTAAGGTGAGGCTTTATTTTATTTTCATAAGCCTAGGCCTTATAAAAACTCATCTTTTAAAAAATCTCATGTAACTTCTATCTTTACTGTTTTTCTTTGCAAGAGATTTTTATTGAGAACATGAAAAGGGTACAAATACAAGGAAGAGATAACAAACAAAAAACACAAAGAAGGAAGAGAGAGGTAGAACTTAGAGAGGTTACAAAAAGAGAATATTTATTTCGTATTTATTTTTAAATTTTAAAAAAATCTAAATTACGCTACTTTGGATCTTCTATTTTTTTTTGGCTCGTAGACTTGCTTCGGACCGAAGTAGTTCCAAATATGTAATTTGGACATTAAAGGTCTTAAGTTGGATTTTGTCTACATAGCTATTGATTTTATATCTTTAAAAGAGAGTCGCAATGTCCATTTCTTAAAAAATATGGATGATGAACATGCACTAAATAGGCCTTGACTTATATAAAATTGATATAAATAAGAATCTCGAAGACCCCATTACTCAATCTCCCTCAACAGTTGGTAAAAATGGTTCATTTGAAACTAGTATGCCACATAGAAGCAAAAGAACCAGGCACCCGCTACCACTTTAGATGAATTTTATGTGTTCATGGATGAAAATAATTATTCTCCAACAAGTGAAGATACAATAGATGAATCTCAAAGCTACAACGAAGCTACTAGCTCACATGATTCAGTTGAATGGATACAAGTTACAAATTGATTTCATTAAAATTAATCAAGTTTGTGAGTTGGTTTATCTTCCTAAAGATAGAAAAGTTATTGGTTGCAAATGGGTCTTGAAGAACAAGCTTAAATGTGAATAGATCTATATAAAAATATAAAACTATATTGATAGCTAAATAGTTTACCTAAAGAAAGGTATAGATTATATAAAGATCTATTCACGTGTAGCCAAATTTAAAGCTATTAAGATCATCTTAACACTAGTTGTATATTATAATTTAAAATTATTTCAAATGGATGGTAAAACAATTTTTTTGAATGGAGAATTAAAAAAATATATTTCTATGGAGCAATCAGAAGGATATATAGTTAAAAGCAATAAAACAACATATACAAAATTAAGAAATATTTCTATGGTCTAAAATAGTCGTATAGCGCATGTTACTAGAGGGAACAATTTTATAATCTTATATTTGTATGTGGATGGCTTTTTGTTTGCTTACAATGACTTTGGCATGATGAACCATAACAAGTATCGGCTCAATTCCCACTATGAGATAAGAGATATGAAATAAGTCTCATTTTGTACTAGGCATTAAGATAAGAGATAGAAGTTCAAGGTTATTGTTTTTATCTCAATAAAATTTTCTAGAGGGCATTTTAATACATTAAGGGATTGTATACAATGAGACCATTTACCTTTGGTGTAGAGAGATCACAATTACTTACAACTATCTGATGTAAAATCTGATACTTGGATGTCTCACAAAGTTCGAAAAAATTTATTTTGAACTTTGAGATTGATCAATAAAATAAATGCAGCTACCCAATTTCACATTCAATGGTCAATATTAATTGTGACCACCTTGTATCAAAAGTAAATGGTCTCATTATATATTTTCCCATAAATTAAATATAGAAAATTGTAAACCTGTTAATATACACATTTGTAAAAGCTTGAAATTACTAGAGAAAATGTGTCCTTCAAGTGACAGTGACAAAAATTGAATTGGAAAAAATTCCATATGCTGAAGTTGTAGAGTATATGATACCTGTCATATTATGCACAAGAGCTTATTTAAGTCATGCATTTGGTCCTAATGAGTAGATTTAAGAGTAATCCAAGATGATTCATTGGCAAGCCCTAAAAAAGATACGCAGATATATTTAGAAAACTAAAAACTACAAATTGTGCTTACAACCTAATAACTTAGAGGCTCTTGGGTACTCTGTTGTAGGCTTTGCAAGAGATGCATGTGATAAAAATCAACCTCATAATATGTAGTCATCTTTTTAGGCGGTTGTGTTTGTTAGTTCAGTAAGAAGTATGGTTGCATATCTCGGTGTACTATGGAAGCTGAGTATATTGCTTGTAGCATTGCTACTACTTATGCTATCTCGATTATAGACTTCACAAATGCACTAAAACTGTATATAGCCGACATACCAGTTTAAATTTTTTGTGATAATCAGACTACCATCTTATTAATTGAAATGGAGTCAGGCTCCAAGGGCAAGCATATTGAAATTGACCATCATTAATTGACTATCATTATATTTAGGATACATATTGTATAGAGCCGAAGCTCTAAATAATCAAAAGAAAGCACGCCTTCAAATAGTATCAAGAAATGTGGTTTCAATATTGGAAATTTGTGTGATCGTCTTATAAAGTATATTTTTAATCTTTAATTATAAAATTTAAAGCTTACAAAATAGTGTAGATTGACCAGATCTATAAAAACTTTAAAAGCTTGAAAATTGACAGTAAAAAAATGCGTTGCAAGATGCCCTCTTTCCAAAACTTGAAAATCCATTTTTTTCTTATGTCCATGCATCTTGATGTTGAGATGATTAGTTTGAGGATATTTGGGCATCAAAACCACATCTTCTAGTGAAATTTTTGAGGTGGGTTCTAATTTGATTGTTTAGAGCCTTGACTATCTATAAAAAAAATACTTATATTTATGATAGTATTGAAAATAATGAAATAACAGCAGTGATTTCATACAACGGTTGTGTCATAGTAAAATGCAACCACACTTTTAGAAATCCATGTGTTGTGGTATTTGTATGACCCAAAATTTTGAACACACTCTCAATAATCAATTTAATAAAAAAACTAATTTGTACCCTATATATGTCAAAATGAGCCCCCTCCAATAATGAATCTAGACCGTCCATTTGATGAATTTTAAGATATAGGCCTTTATGAATTCAATTTTTTTTATTTTAAATATTATTAATCTAATGATAATAACATTATCTAAAAAATTTGGAAAGAAAAAATATCATTCTAAGACCTAGATCTAAACAACTCATCAAAATGAATGGCCTAATATTAATTGGGCTAAAAAAATACTTTCTAGGTTTTGTTTTCAATTTTTTTTTTTTTTGTGATTGTTCATTAGAATGAAAATAATGTATATTTTAAAATTTGGATCAAACAAATGGCCCTAACCTAGTTTTTGAAGGTTGTTGCATTGTATTATTATACAATCATAGTATGAAATCACTACCCATGAAATAATTGTAAGTTTTTACCATCAACTGATATAATTGGAATACCTCTGATAAAGGGATTAAGTGTTGAAATTTTTTCAAAGCATGTAAATTTGATGGGACTTAAGAATATCTAAGTTAGAAACTTGCAAAATAGATACTTTTGATGTCTTGATCATAAGAGGAAACACTACATCAGTGTGAAAAAAAATCATGTCAAGAGATGTCTATATATGTATATTGGTCATGAGATATGTAGCCATAATGATGTGTAAAGCTTAGTAACAAGGATATGCTCGTAAGGTTAAATCCATTAAGTGACAAGGCTTTAAGGTATGTCAATATGTTTGGCTCTAATGGTCAAGTGTGAGATGTGTAGCCATGGGCCCTCACATGTACCTTTGTGAAATTTTTATTTTTGTTAAACTACACATTAATTAATTACATTTAAAAGTTGCAAATTTTAATAAGAGAAAGTCATTCTTTACTATGTCCCTTGTGTACATTCCTTGCTCCTAGATTTTGGGGGCCACTTCGCATATATTTTAGGAAGGAAAGCTAAATGTTGAAAATGGCCTCCCCCTGTCAGATAAAGTTTCATGACCATTAAGAACACACCAAAAAAATTGTTGTTCTGGAGAAACCCTGGTTTCTTTGCAATATAAAATCTAATGCATTGCCATCAAAAAATAGGATTTTGGTGAGTTCATAATCTTCCTTATCCTTCACTTTCAAGGGCAAGGGATACTTACATTTAAATTGAATGCCGAGTTGAATAAACATGATAAGAAACTTGTGGGGTTCTAAGTTCAAATAAATTCCATGAATAGGCGTTTTGCCCAATAGAATGTAGTTTACAGTATGCTCTAACTGGAGTGAATATCTTTTTTTCCTATTAATTTACATGTACATGACTTCATTTCATATAGTAATTGCATTTCAAATAGTAATTGGTCTTACTCTTGCCAGAAAAGCATCATGTAGAAATGTAAGTCATCGCTTGAATGTGTCTAGTGTTTGAAAATCCAGTGATCTGGATTGAGAATCACCCATATGGATTAGAAAATGGCTGGTATCAAACTAGTTTTGGAAAGGAATTAGTACCAATCCAGTCCCCCCTAAAGCTCCACTTCATAGTTTTTTTGCCTTTTTTCTTTTAGGATATACAATGTTTTTTTAGGCTCCTCCTAAACTCCCAAACTGCTCACCCACGCTACAAAATAAACCCTCATTCTTTAATTTTTTAAATATTTTTTTTTAAATTGCATATTGAAACAGATTCAAACTGATATGGATCGACAATCTGACATGAATCTATGGGTTAGACAAGCCACCAACCGACTCATGATTTCAATCACGCCTCC